GTTGTTCTCTAGTTTCTCGCTCGCGCTTTGCCTCCTCTTCTCGCTCTCTTTTGCGAATAAGTTAGCCACCATATTTTGCTAGTCGCTTGCTGCAGCTCCACATATTACCTTGCCATACCTATAAGCTTAAATAGTCTTGATCGCGAGGGTGCGAGATTGCTGAGTCTCTGTGGCTCACAGATTACTATTACACTAGATGCAGGGCCTGATGATTCCGCTCCAGGAGACGCGCTTGAGCTCAAGTGGGAGTTCGACGAAGACTCTCAACGTTACTATGTTTCCTTTCCCGATGATCAGTAGTGGTGCCCAGTTGGGGGTGATTGGGACTGTGTCGCATGTCGGGTTATCTTTTATTTTGGCGCCGTAGTCGGGCCATGAGTGTTTGGATGATGTAATGTTATTTATGTACTTGATTGACGTGGCCAGTGTAAGCCAACTATGTTATCTCCCCTTTATGATTTATAATACATGGGATGTTGTAAAGATTGCCTAACTTGCGACATATGCCTTCAATGCGATTATGTCTCTAAGTCGTGCCTCGACACGTGGGATCTATAGTCGCATCGAGGGTGTTACACTCTCCTTCCCCCTTGCTGGATCAAGAAGAAGGAGACGTCACGCTGACCGTACGTGTGTTGAACACGGAGGTGCCGTCCGTTCGGCGCTAGGATCTCCGGTGATTTGGATCACGTCGAGTACGACTTCCTCATCCCCGTTCTTTGAACGCTTCCGCGCATGATCTACAAAGGTATGTAGATGCAATCCGATCACTCGTTGCTAGATGAACTCCTAGATGGATCTTGGTGAAACCGTAGGAAAATTTTTGTTTTCTGCAACGTTCCCCATCAGTTTTAACCTTGGCAAGGACCGGGCGTAGCCACACTCGGTTCAACTAAAGTTGGAGAAACTTTCACCCGCTAGCCACCTTTGTGCAAAGCACATCGGGAGAACCGGTCTCGCGTAAGCGTACGCGTAATGTCGGTCCGGGCCGCTTCGTCCAACAATACCACCGAACCAAAGTATGACATGCTGGTAAGCAGTATGACTTATATCGCCCACAACTCACTTGTGTTCTACTCGTGCATATAACATCAACACATAAAACCTAGGCTCGGATGCCACTGTTGGGGAACGTAGTAATTTCAAAATTTTCCTACGCACACGCAAGATCATGGTGATGCATAGCAACAAGAGGGGAGAGTGTGATCTACGTACCCTTATAGACCGACAGCGGAAGCGTTAGCACAACGCGGTTGATGTAGTCGTACGTCTTCACGGCCCGACCGATCAAGCACCAAAACTACGGCACCTCCGAGTTCTAGCACACGTTCAGCTCGATGACGATCCCCGGACTCCGATCCAGCAAAGTGTCGGGGAAGAGTTCCGTCAGCACGACGGTGTGGTGACGATCTTGATGTACTACCGTCGCAGGGCTTCGCCTAAGCACCGCTACAATATTATCGAGGATTATGGTGGAAGGGGGCACCGCACACGGCTAAGAATATGATCACGTGGATCAACTTGTGTGTCTAGGGGTGCCCCCTGCCCCCGTATATAAAGGAGCAGGGGAAGGTGCGGCCGGCCAGGAGGAGGGTGCGCCAGGAGGAGTCCTACTCCCACCGGGAGTAGGATTCCCCCCCTTTCCTAGTTGGAATAGGATTCGGGAGGGGGAAAGAGGAGAGAGAGAAGGAAGGGGGGCGCCGCCCCCCTCTCCTTGTCCTATTCGGACTAGGGGGGTAGGGCGCGCGGCCCAGCCCTGGCCACCTCTCCTCTCTTCCACTAAAGCCCACTAAGGCCCATATACCTCCCGGGGGGTTCCGGTAACCTCCCGGTACTCCCGTAAAATCCCGATTTCACCCGGAACACTTTCGATATCCAAATATAGGCTTCCAATATATCAATCTTTATGTCTCGACCATTTCGAGACTCCTCGTCATGTCCGTGATCACATCCGGGACTCTGAACAAACTTCGGTACATCAAAATGCATAAACTCATAATATAACTGTCATCAAAACCTTAAGCGTGCGGACCCTACGGGTTCGAGAACAATGTAGACATGACCGAGACACGTCTCCGGTCAATAACCAATAGCGGAACCTGGATGCTCATATTGGCTCCCACATATTCTACGAAGATCTTTATCGGTCAGATCGCATAACAACATACGTTGTTCCCTTTGTCATCGGTATGTTACTTGCCCGAGATTCGATCGTCGGTATCTCAATACCTAGTTCAATCTCGTTACCGGCAAGTCTCTTTACTCGTTTCGTAATACATCATCTTGCAACTAACTCATTAGTTGTAATGCTTGCAAGGCTTATGTGATGTGCATTACCGAGAGGGCCCAGAGATACCTCTCCGACAATCGGAGTGACAAATCCTAATATCGAAATACGCCAACCCAACATGTACCTTTGGAGATACCTGTAGAGCTCCTTTATAATCACCCAGTTACGTTGTGACGTTTGGTAACACACAAAGTGTTCCTCCGGCAAACGGGAGTTGCATAATTTCATAGTCATAGGAACATGTATAAGTCATGAAGAAAGCAATAGCAATATACTAAACGATCGAGTGCTAAGCTAATGGAATGGGTCATGTCAATCACATCATTCTTCTAATGATGTGATCCTGTTAATCAAATAACAACTCTTTTGTTTATGGTTAGGAAACATAATCATCTTCGATTAACGAGCTAGTCAAGTAGAGGCATACTAGTGACACTCTGCTTGTCTATGTATTCACACATGTATTATGTTTTCGGTTAATACAATTCTAGTATGAATAATAAATATTTATCATGATATAAGGAAATAAATAATAACTTTATTATTGCCTCTAGAGTATATTTCCTTCATGACCCATATCATCTTAAATTGGTTCTGCTTCCCCCCCCCCCCCTTTTTTTTTAAGAATACCGAGTCGGATTATTCTCCTACCAGTAAAAATATAACATGTTGAACAAGATCTTCAGGGAAACCTGCTTGATTTAGATCGGAAAATCACCTTAGAATGGCCTCATCCAAGCGGATGATTGTCGTTCATAAGATAGGCACGTGGTATGTTTGATACTGAGCCACTTCTCTTGTAGTTGTTAGCTCGTTCTTAAAAAAAATCAGATCGGGTCTTCATAATTTGGAGTAAAAGGATTCGAACCTTTGCACACCGAACCTTAATACATGTATTCCGAAACATTAATTTACTTTAAAAATCCATGAATTTAAAATTTTAATACAGTGTACAAAAATTAGCACAATTAAAAATGTTGATACCATTCAGAAAAAATGTCGTAACAGTTTTTATTTCAAAATCACGCATTTCAGAAAAATGTATTTGACAATGAGAAAAAAGATTATAAAATATAAATAAAATTTCCATGTAATTAAAATAATGTTTCATACCCTTCAAAAAGAATTGTATGTTGCATTTAAAAAATATTCATGCATTTGAAAAAAATATTCATGATATTTTAAAATAAGGGTTTATACAATGGACAAAAAAATTATGTGTACTTTAAAAAAATTGTTTTATTTCATTCAAAAGAATGTTTGAACATATATTTAATTTTCTTTAACACATATTTGTTAAATTTTTAGAAACATGTATTTGAATAAATATTAATCATGTATTGCAAACTTATAAAACATGTATAAAATAATGTTTCAGAGGTATAAAAATGCACAATGTGTATGCAAAAAGGTCAACATCAGACACATATTTTAAAAATTGTTATCAAGTACTTGAAAAATATTAAGCATTTATAAAAATGCTCCCGATCTATACAAAAACGTACAATGTGTATGTTAGAAATAAACACGTGTTGAAAAAATTACTCTGCAGTAGAGAAACACAAAAAATAAAAACCTCAAAATAAAACCCTTGAAAATCGGCACAGAAAACCATTAAAAACGAAAAATAGAAAGGAAAACCAGCTCCGGCAGGAACCCGAATTGGGCCGGCTCTTAGCGCGCTCTTACTCTGTCTCGCAGTAGGCGAGAAAACGCTCCCGCGCTCCACAGCCTGCTTTCCGCGGTTCCGCGTTCCCCATCACTCCTCTCTCCCGGCGAGTCGCAACTCCACCATTCTCACCGGCCTTCTCCTCCTCTCACGCCGCCGTGCTCGCAGCGCATCCTCTCTGCCACGTTCGCCCCGTTCCACGCACACGCATGCATCTATTTCTCCGACGCAATGCCGGCCTTCTCTTCCCAGCGCCGTCCGCCTCGGCAGCAGCGCGCTCAGGCCGTTCGGCGGAATGCCGACCCGAGTGTCTTTTCTTGGACCGCGAGTCCGCGACGGACGGTTGCCGTAGAGAGTCCGGGTGGGATCGTGGACCATGCTTGGGAAGTCCTCTGATGCGTATGTGTCTACGCCGGAGGGGCTAGCTACGTTGCAAGGCCCGTGGTTTCTTGGCCGCCTAAATCTTTGGACATGGTACGTAGGTGCTTCTGATCACCATTCCTCTCGTGTTCTGCTAGTGACTGCGTGCTAAGTATTCAGTTTGTATTTCAAAGATGGTAGTCGTATTACATTCTCAGTTTCTCATTCCATTTGTTTGAGGCTTGGGCCGACCAAACATTTGCTGTAGCTGGCAATTCGGTAGTTCAGCTCCAACTCTGCGGTTCTTAAAACCGTTGATCCAGAGAAAACAGCTGAAAGACATAATATCTGCCCAATGAAAACCATTTCCAATCTTTCACTGACAAAGCAAGATAGTCATTTCACATGTTTACACTTTGTCTCATGCTTGTGAAACTTAAAAGCATATATAATACATACAGAAACATCTAAAGGTCCTTGTAAAAAAGATCTGAAGGAAGATGAATACCAAAATATTTCCTGAAAAAAGTACGTAAAGCTCAAGATGGCAACCTGTTAGGCTCTGTGCAGAAATACAGAACAAACTGATTATCAGAACTAGTAGTTCTACTGAAACTAAGAAAGTTACATGTACATCATGCACAAAACTGCAATATTATCTATCATGTGTGGTTTAGTGGTTCATTGTATCTTGGCTGATTTTCGCATCTGCGGGTCAGCATCTATACTGGCCAGGCAGGAGACAACTTCCATGATGGTTGGCCTCATGAATTGATTGTGGTCGACACATTTGGAAGCAGCTTCAAGCACCTTTAACATTTGATCTTCACATCCTGTGCCTCGAAGTGTTGGATCCAGGACCTCAACCTGCTTCCCCTCAGACCTCATCTCCAGCACCCATGGGACAAGTTCTTTTGACGTTGATAGGATTGAGACAGGTCGTATTCCAGTGAGCAGCTCAAGCATGACTACTCCAAAACTGTACCTATCACCTCTCAACGTAGCAACCCATGCTTGCCCATACTCAGGGGGAATGTAACCCATAGTACCGACCAGCTCAGTCGTAACATGAGTTTGGTTGGGAAGGATCAATCTGGCTAGCCCAAAATCTGCAACATAAGCTTTAAATTCTTTGTCCAGTAAGATATTACTGCATTTGATGTCACGGTGGACAATCTGAGGCTTGCAGACATCATGGATATGGGAAAGGCCAAGGCTTGCTCCTTGCGCGATCTTCAGCCGAGTTGGCCAGTCAAGCCATGAGCTAGCTTCGTCATCCCTGTTATGAAGCCAATCATCCAGGCTGCCGTTTTCCATGTAGGAATATATGAGGAGCTTTGAGTTTCCCTGGATGCAGTAACCCCACAGCGGCACAATATTTTCATGTTGTGCATTGGAAAGAGCATCAACCTCTGCACTGAACTCTCTTTCCATAAGACACATTTCACTGTTGAGCTTTTTGATTGCCAGCTTGGAGCCATCAGGTAGCTCTGCCTTGTATACTAATCCATAACCTCCACAACCAATGATGTTCTCCTTGTCAAAATTGTTTGTAGCTTTCAAAATGTCAGTGAATTTGAGCTTGCTTTCTTCTCCCTTGCCTTGGGGCATCCACATGACGACTAATGTTTGCTCTGAACTGGAGTAGAATGAAGTTGCTTCAACATCTTCGTTACTCTCCCTTCTATGTTTTGCCATAGAACCCTTCTTCCTGATTGTGACAAGGAGACGTGCCAACAACAAAAGAATAGCAATGCCTCCGAAGAACACGCCAAATGCAATTGCAAAAACAGCCTTCTTATCTCGTTTTTTTCTGGAGGATGGAGGTATTGAATCTGAACCACATTCATGAGTGAGAATAGGACCACACAGCTTTGGATTCCCAAGGAAACTAGAATTCTGAAATGTATTAAACTGGCCTCCAGATGGAATTGGCCCTTCTAGGCCATTGTTTGAAATGTTGAATGCTGAAAGGAAGTTCAGTCTATTCAATGCATCTGGAATTCCACCTGTTAGATTATTGCTTGACAAGTCTAACAGCTGCAGGTTTGTGAGGTTGCATATTGATTGTGGGATTTGTCCTGTCAAGTGGTTAAAGCTGAAATCGAGTGAAAGGAGGGCTTTCAACTGACCAATCTCGAGGGGGATTTGACCAGTGAATTTGTTGTTGCTTAGATCTAGCACATTACGCAAAGCAATAGGTACACGGTATTGTAGTGATGGACCATAATAAACAGGTAGCTCAAATGCCCTTGGGTCTAAATGGGCTTCACTCTTATCTGAATTTAGCATTGGCATATCCATAAGGGCTGTTGGAATCCCCCCTGTGAGGCTGTTGTTTGATATGCCCAGATAGAACAGGTTGCTTAGGGTTTTGATCCAGGCTGGTATTGATCCAGTGAGTTGATTGTTAGACAAGATTAATATTTTTAAATTTGCTAGCTTCGATATCCATTGAGGTATTTGTCCAAACAATCCGCATCCATCGACACTAAAAAACTGAAGATTTTCAAAACCATCAATCATGTCATCCTCTGGCATGATTTCTCCCCTGAAGTTGAACGCAATAAGCAGGGTTGTAAGTTTTCTACATCTCTTAAGGATATGAAGTGCACTTGTGATATTTGTAAGAGTGTTGTTAGCAAGTGATAGGAATGAGAGGGACTTTAGATTGCCTATTTTTTCTGACAGCTGGCCATTGAACTTATTGGAAGACAGACGCAGTGCAATTAGGTTGCTGCATGAGTAGATGCTTTCTGGAATTTCGCCACTGAAGCTGTTGTACATAAGATCTATAGTTTTTAGATTGGATAGGTTGGAGAAATTGACCTTGGCGAGTTTCCCGCTGAAATTGTTGCTCTTGAAGTCAATGGTTATGAGATTTGTGCAGTTGGTCAGACTCGATGGCAGCTCCCCATACATGTGGTTGTTGTTTAAATGGAGTTCCTCCAATCTCCTGAGATGACCTATAGACTCCGGAATCTTGCCACTGATGTTGTTCTCTCCAAGATCAAAAGTACCCAGATTACTGAGTTTACCAAAATGCAAGCCTTCAAGTGTTCCTTGTAAACTGTTCCCGGGGAAGGAGACGTATTCTAACAAGGTAGCATTGAAGAGTTCGTCCGGGAGACTCCCACTGAGGTGGTTGTGGCCAACCTTGAGCACTCTGAGCATGGAGCAGCTACCAAGTTGTGGGGGAATGCTCCCTCTGAATTGGTTGTAGCAGAGTTCGAGCACTGCCAAGGATGGCGAGCTGGCACAGAAATGAGTTGGTAGCTGCCCAGTAAAGCTGTTGTTGCTGGCATTGAGTGCAACCAGATTTTTCATCCCCTGCCATGTGGAGGACGGAAACTGTCCTGTAAACAAATTGCTCGAGATGTTCAGTACCTTCAGTGGCCGGGCATGGGTAGACGACAACTCATGCAGCTCTCCTCCAAGACGGTTAAAGCTGACATCTACGATGAGGATGCTGCTGGAGGATACCAGTTCCTGCGGTAGACCACCGGATAGCAGATTGTTTGACAGGTCGAGGCGCAGCAATCCAGTGAGGTTCCCAAGAGAAGGTGTGATGTGCCCCTGAAGACTTCTAGAAGCCAGCAAGACATCTGTAACAGTGTCATCTGTGCTGCAGGTGATCCCTTCCCACTGGCAGCAATCCGAGCCATTATTCCATGACACAGCGAGGCCACCATCTTGTGAGAGCCCACCAAGGAACTGGAGAAGGGAGCCCTTCTCCTGCTCCGTGCAGGAACTGGTAGGAGAGGCCAAGCATATCAGCAGCACAAGACCAAGGCCAAGGGAAGGTATGTGCAATATCTTGCTGTATGTCTTGTTGGGAAAATCGAGTGTCTGCATAGTTTTCTGGTGAAACTAACACGGGAACCTGAGCTTATGTTGTCCCCTGACTGGATAAAGCATCAATGGTGGTGTAACCATGAAAGAGCATGATGGGAAAGGAAGAAGCAGGCCTTGCTCCCATTTGTTCTGTCCCTCGTAGTCATAGTCACCACGAAGAATTTGGGTCAAGAAAATCGGGTTTTACACAACTGCTCCCAGCCCACGCGGCAGCTTCCTAGTTCATACTGATATTTCAGTGCTTCACTATTGGTTGCATGCTGTAATCTACTGGGAAGTGAACTACCCATTCTTCCGTACAAAAAAAACTGCATTGTAGATTTTCCAGTCATCCTTGACTCAAATTTTTGATGAATTTTTACAGCATGCCTTACTTTACTTGCCCTGATATCGCTTCTCTTACCAGTTTCACTAAACAAATCTAACCTCTACCCACATCCTTTGCCTTTTGGTGAACAGGAAAAGCCGTGTTTTGAAAAAACAGTTGGTAAAGATATGCAAAGTATTCAGCCGGCCAGATGGTGCATGGGGAGATCATTTCCGAAAGGTGCTTGCGATCCAGAGCAAACATCGGCGTCTCAATCAGTGTGTGGACAAACCCAAGTGGACGGCAAGAAGAAGTGCAATCATGTTGCTTAATGGACGGGGTGATGGTTGGCCTGCTGGAGTGCTGGGTATCTGTTTTCTGTTCCATCCTCTTGACCTGAAGCATGAACTTCCTTGTCAGTTATCACGCGTACGAGCTTCGGATGGTGGATACATTTGCTGTTGTTTTCCATTCTCCTGGCTCCACTGGCGCACTATTATTTTGTGGACCATGGACTGTGGTTTTCATCTGAAGTTGGAAGCGGTTCAAAGAAGACTGGGTACCGTGTGAGCTCTGGCACTGGAAGGCCGGCTCTGGTGCTTGTGGTAGTGGAAGTGCTTGTGCCGTGTGGACGTGGTCTTTGGAACCGCACCATGTATTAATCATTTTTCAATACTTTAGTTGAATATAAAATTGGTGTTGTTTTCTGCGGGAGTTGAATAATTGGTGTTAAGAATCACATTTGTTTTCTGGCACTACTGGGTTTAGTTCAGTGCGTGGCTGATGATGTGCTGATGCTAGCTGCACTGTATCATTATTGTTTCCTAGATGCTGCACTCTACCATTGATCAGTGTGCATCTGGTTAATAATTTTCCTCTCTGATTGAGGGAGAAAATATAGCAAGTGGCTGACGCTCTCCGTAATTAAGGCTCGCTGCAGAGTTAGTAGCATATCAGTAGATTTGTGCATGTTATTTATTATTATTACTCCCCCATACCATAGTGTAAGACTTATTTTTGACACTACATTTGTGTCGAAAAAATGTCTTACATTATGGGATGGAGGGAGTAGATATTCAGATACAACGTGGATTGAAGAACATAAGAATCTTACTATTGGATTTGAACAATTTTTCACATCAATACCTCCACACGTAATCAAAATATGGCACTTAAACAAAAAAAATTACAAGAAGATAGCTGGAAGAAGTCGCCAAATGTGGTTTTTCTACACCCACCCTTGATGCACCCACGCAAGAAAATATACCAAAACATTTTGAAAAAAAATCTGAAACTTTGTGGAAATTCATCAACAAATGTTAGAGGTTTGCAAATTTTGGTGGTCAAATGACATCCGAGGAGCTCTATACGAAAAACACAAAATTAGTCAAAAATAGTCAACATGTATGTGCACTGTTTGACCAAAAATTGTAATTTTTTGTACAGTTCTCCTCGGATGTCATTTGACCATCAAACTTGGCAAGCCTCTCTAACATTTGTTGATGATCATTTTCATAAAGTTTTAGATTGTTTCGAAATGTTTTGGTATGTCTTCTTGCATGGATGCACCGTGGGTGCACCGAGGTGGGGCTCAACCACTACTTTCCCCAAGTGGATATCATTTTTCAGGAATCCGAACAGATAAGGCATTTTGTTACTTAATTTTGATTTCATCCTAACCTGATTCATCTGAAACCCCCCTCAAGTATCTTCATGCCAACTCATAAGAATCTCACATGTGAGATACGATCTTCGGTCTTCATCACCGACCATCAATTTGCCGCACATATTCTTCAGCGTGTTAGTCTACAAGATGAGCACCTCGGTGACTTCCTTGCTGCCTTTGGGAGATCACCTCTCTGCGGAGAAGTCGTGCTCTCCTGCCCCTGCTTACCGCAGATGGAACATAACCTCGACCTCTTAATCGGTTGCTTGCATGGAGGCTTGTCACGTTGTCACGATTGCTAGTAGGCCTACCAGGTGGTCTCTTCCTGCTTGGATCACTTGACTTCCTCCTCTCACCGGTCCGCCTCCGATGGACATGCAGCCTGCTTTTTGCAGAGCAAACACCAAAACCAGACCCCCATGAGTTAATACTTTAACAAGGATACCATGTATTAATCATTTTTTAATACTTTTTAATACTTTAGTTGAATATATAAAATTGGTGTTGTTTTTTGCGGGAGTTGAATAATTGGTGTCAAGAATCCCATTTGTTTTCTGATACTGGGTTTAGTTAGTGCGTGGCTGATGATGTGCTGATGCTAGCTGCACTGTATCATTATTGTTTCCTAGATGCTGCACTCTACCATTGATCAGTGTGCATCTGGTTAATGATTTTCCTCTGATTGAGGGAAAAACTATAGCAAGTGGCTGACGCTCTCCGTAATTAAGGCTCGCTGCAGAGTTAGTAGCATGTATCAGTAGATTTGTGCATGTTATTTATTAGATATTCAGATACAGCGTGGATTGAAGAACATAAGAATTTTACTGTTGGATTTGAACAATTTTTCGCATCAATACCCACATGTAGTCAAAATGTGGCACTTAAACAAAAAAAATTACAAGAAGATAGCTGGAAGAAGTCGCAACGTGCGCACTGCATCAATGAAAAAACAACCATTCAACCAATTTGGATCTCTTACTAAATGATTGGGTTAAATACATTGAAGGTGCCTCAACTTTAGTACCCAAAGGCCAAAGTTGTAAAATACACGAAACTATGAAACTAGTGCCCGCGTGGTGTGCCAGCATGGCAGTGCCCCACCTGTCCGTGGCTAAGAGCAGGGAAGGCACTGGGTGGCCCGAGCGTGAGGAATTTTTTGTACAAAACCCCCTCATATTTTATTTAATCAAGCAGGAAAACCTCACAAATTAGAAAGAAAAAAAAATGCATGATAGATGATCGAACCTGAGCCCTATCACGGATTGCATTCTACGCAAAGGTTGTCCAACGTGCCATACACGGCAGTGGCGGAGCTACAGGGTGTCCAGGGTGGGCCGCGGCCCACCCTGGGATTTTGGAGCAACCATACCTATGGGTCTTTAACTGGGCCAGACAAAAAAGATGGCCCAATAACACTTACCTGTTGACTCGGGGATCAACGCAGCCACAGCCCGCAACCGTGCCCTCGTTCCACATCGAGCCAGGGGACAGCCGCCTCGTCCTGACGCCCTCCCAGAGCCGTGCCTTACGACGGCTCGCCGTCCTCGCCGGTCGCCGATTAGCCCGCCGGAGCCCAGCCCCCGATGAGGATCCTCTCCTTCCCGCCTCCCTGCGAGCTGCGTGTGTCCCTGTCCTGCGCGGCTGCGCCCCTGCCCCCGGCCTTCTGACTCCCCTGCAAGTGTAAGTGCAGATCTTGCTCCCCCCCTGTTTGTGTTGTTCGACGAGGGGATGAATTAAAATTGCCCTCTGTTATCAGGAGTGTGAGGAACTTGGTGGTCTTCTTGGCTGAGCAGTCAAGGCAATTGAAGCACCTCCAGTGGCTGGGCTTCCAGAACTCGGTATGACACTTGCACTTAAAGTTTATTTCTTAGATCGGTGTTATTCAGGTTCTGTTTTCATATATTTTTAACAGTGCAATGTATTCCCTTGTGGGCTTACCAGCTTACCAATTTTGATTCCCCAATTTCTGACTTAGGTTTTTTTTTGGCCGTGCTATGCTATCCTTTAGATGAACCGAACAGATGCATAATTTTGCACATCATTTCTACCTCAAATAAATTCTCAAGGTATGTAATATGATCCATATAGTATGTACTATGTAGGTTTCTTTATGCAAAACTTAGAATTAATTGAGAATTTTAGTGTGTAAGACCATATTTATATATTTCTATGTGATATTGGTAATTATTTAGAATGTTCACATGTTATACTTATCAAAAAAAAAGGGGGTGGACCACCCTGTTCTCAAACGCTAGCTCCGCCACTGATACGTGCAGTATATATTGCAGAGGTCAAACTCTATCTATTGCATGGCTATGCAAAAAGTAACTCTGGAGCACGGGCACATTGTGTCCTATTTTTTTTAAGTTCAAAGAAACGGATTTTTATAGCTAAAAAAATCTGAATTTTTTTATACATGCACACATAGAAGTGTAATATATCCGTGTGAATTTTCACCAATATATGTGCTTGTATGAGAGATAAAACAGATGAATACATGCAAAAAAAATCAGCTTATTTTTTTGCCATATTTTTTTCCATTTTTTGAAGGGTATAATATAACATAATTTTGAGCGAAAGTTGAAAGTCACTTAGAGCACATACATATGTTTTTGTGTGAAAACAATCAACTCATTTTGAAACTTTTAAGTGCTAGTTTTTAGCCTTAAAAACATGCTCAATGGCCGCCGTGCTCCAGAAATACGTTTTGGCTGCTATGTACCTCTTCAAGCGATTTTTTTTATATATGGCGCCTCTATGGACCTGCACAAGTTTTA